AGAATAAATAGAAGAATTACTTTTTTTTTCTTCATTTTTTATTTTTTTTTACTAGTACATGTCTGCAGCACATAATGATGACATTAACCTTGGAGGATGGATGTACATAGCACATCTTAATTTTTTTCACTCTTTTCTTCACCTCCACAGTTACAAAAGCTCTATTTCCACTTTTTCCTTTAATTCCTTTTTCTGTAAATCTCCTTTCCCTTTCTTCTCTCCCTCCTCATCTCTTGTTCCCCTTCTCGTTTGAACTAGTTCTTCCTACTTCCTCATATCTCTCCCCTCTATTTTGCTCATTACTTTGGATTTCTCATACAAGAAAAGTAATGTGATATTTAAACCTATATACCTGATTTATTTCACTCAACATTATGGTTTTAGGTGCATCCATTTACCTAAAAATGCTTCAAGTTTTCCTTTTTTAAATGGTTCATTGCATAAAAGTATCACAGTTTCTTTATCTCCTCATTTGTTGATGGGTATATAGGCTGCTTCCAAGATTTAGATATGATGAACTGTGCTTGTATAAACATGAGTATGCACATATCACTGTAATATGACATCATTAACTGTTTTGGGGAGATCTTAGTTTTAGTTTTTTGAGGAATCTCCATACTGCTTTCCATTGTGGTCATATCAATTTATACTCTCACCAACAATGGAGAAGAGTTTTTTTTCCACTTGAAATCTCACCAGCATATATTATTTATTGATGTCTTGATGATAACCATTGTTTCTGGAATGAGAAGGAATCTCATTGTTGTTTTAATGTGTGTTTTTTGAAGTTAGTGATGTTAAGCATTTTTTTCATGTATTTACTGGCTATTTGCACTTCTTTATCTGAGAAGTGTCTATTCAATTGAGAAACCATTTTTGACTGGGTCTTTAAACTTGAGGGGTGTACTTTTTAAATTCCTTATATATTCTAGATATTTTTAATCTGTCTAAGAATACTGGATTTGTGATTTCTCTGTCCATAATTTTTCTCCTACATCTATCATCCACACCATAAAAGTAGTAGAAGTCAAGGAACTTATTGTTCCTCAGTTTGAGCCCAGCAGGATAGAGAGAAACCAGTACATAAAGCTTCATTGTATACTCTTCACTGTAAAATTCATGTCCAGAGGTTATTTTATCAGCATTGTTCTTTCAGTGCACATTTCTGAGAGCAGGCCTTCTGAGAGCAGGGCTTTCAGCAAACCAATATATACAATCAGATTCTGTATGTCTTCAAACTAGCTTGTGAAAGTTTTTCTTGCTTGTAATACACTCTAATTTCACAGGGAAAATGTGTTACTTCTTTTGTAAGTGTCATTTTGTTATCAGAGAAACACCTTTCCCTTCTTTCTTCTACCACCTCATTTTCTTCGTCTCATTTCCTTTCCTTTTTCTCTTCTGGCCTTTAGACATCACTTTAACTCCTTTTATCCTTTGTTTTAATTTCAAAACTAAAGAAAAGATGGGAAGACATGTTGGGAGGGATAAGGCTTGGGTACTGAGACCAGAATCTATTCAGGGTCTTGCAATATCAACAACATGGAAGACAAACCCTAACTCTACTCAGGCTAAGTGTAATCATTTTAAGTAGATTTGTAAAAAGAAATGAGTTCCACTAGCATAGGATTAGGGAGAGCTGATTTAACAACACCTAATGATAATTTCAAAAGACTCTTAGCAAGTCATATAGTTCTGATGAGTAAAACTCACCTGAGTTTTGTTTTCAGTCAGGAAGCCAAGTAATGAAGCAATGTACTGGAGAAAGTATCAGGTGTTGTGTTTATGTATGATGTATTTGATTCTGATGCATTTCTCAGGGACCAATCCTTTAACCAGTGGGCTAAGGATGGATACATGCAACCATTGAGGTAAGCTTCTTCCTAGGTAAGACAGATGGTTTTGGTAACATTGGGCTGCAAAAGATAGTCTAAGTGTATTAATAAAAGGAGTGAAGAAAGTGAGGCAGCAAAGGGTCCTGGAAAGGAGATAGAAGGGATTTTCAGAGGTGGATTTGCACTGGGCTGAGAGCAAAGTGTTGGATGGTGGCAAGGAAACATCTACTTCAGTAATGCTAAAACAGGATAAGAAAATAATTGTCTGAAATTTATGAAGAGTTTACCATTTAAATAATGTCTAAAATTTACTCACAAATGGATTATGTTTGTTATCTTTAAAAGCATATTTTTTTTTGTCTTTTTCCTTTTTTATCGTTACCGGGGATCGAATTCATGACTGCCTGCTTGCAAGGCAGGTGCTTATGCCGCTGAGCTAAATCCCCAGCCCCTTTAAAACCATATTTGAAGAGATTTTGTTACTGTGTGGTTTTCTTACTGTTGATATTCCAGACATAATAAGCACTATCTCTTTTTTCATTGATTGCTGTATAAATTTAATCAATATTTTAAGTAAAATTAGGAAGACTATTGATAAAGAATAAAACAACTATTCCTGTAAATAAAGTATCTCCCTTTCTGGATATGCAGCTGGCTTAAACCAAAGGATTAAGGAGAATATAAGTTAATGTGAAAAAGAAAAAGACAGTCACAGAGAGTTAGGACTGTGATATCAGATTTGACACATGGAAATTTTCTTTCAAATTGATTTTAGGTGTACATAATGAACACTCATCATAGAAAACTTGTACCTTTCCATCATCTAACTTGATTCCTGTTTTTTTCTTATTTATCTCCTCTCCATTCTATCCCTCTTTCCCTCCTTACTTACAAAGATTTGTTTGCACTTTATCATTTTTTCCTCATTTTTCTTTTCTCTTCCTTCCTTCCTGCCCCATTTCCTTCCCTTTTGAACAATTTATTCGTGTTTCACAATATCTATTCTATATTTTGTTTCTTGTTTACATTTCAGTTTCTCACACCAGAAAGACAATGTGATATTTACATGTGTCTCATTTATTTCTCTTAAAAGTATGGTCTCAAGGTTCATCCATTTGTCATAAAACTCTCAAGTTTCTACTTCTTTATAGCTGAGTTTAAAAATTTCACACCTTTTTAATCCATTAATTGTTTGATGAGCATTTGAGTTGCTTTGAAAATTTAGTTATTACCAACTGTGCTGCTATAACAATGGGTGGAAATTCTTGAAATCACATTGTGATCCACAGGTGACCCACATTTGCCCTTTCCCTTGCCATCCCCTCTTCTTTTGGAAATCACCATCCTACTCTCTTGCTCTATTAGTTCTAATTTTTAGAATCCACATAAAAGTGAGTAACTCATGCCATATGATTTGGTGTCTTAGAATCCATCACTCCCTCAGCTACATCTCTATAGGCCTTTGGCTTTTTTCTCACTCTATACAATTTACTAGAATCTCTGGAAAATCTTCTGGTGAGGTGATTCCCAATTTCTATTTCTCTGTTTCCCACTTTATGGACCCTAAGAGACCCATTCTACTGACCAAGTAACTCTATCCTTGCTAACCTAAATCTGATCTCTAGTTTTTTTAAGTCTGTTCCTGAACCCAGTGTCTCTTCACCTTGATGATCTCATTCCTCCTTACTCTGCTCCACTGTTTGCTCTACTCCACTGTTTCTCAGGTTGCCTTCTCCAGTGGCACCCAATACATTCATACTGTATCCTCTCTAACTCTGAGCTTGCTTGATGGTAGCATTACTTGCTATACATTTTCTCTGAAATCACCATTCCTAATGATTCATCTTTTGTCACATTTACATCTGTCTATTTTGTATGTATAACCCTGTGAGAATAACTCCTGAACTTCATTTAATAATCATACTTCTTACCAACTTGATTTATCAGCTCGAGGAACTTTATTTTCAATCTTTAAAAATAAAAAATTCCATTACAAAACAACTACAATAGAATTTAAAATGTTCTTACTTTTGATTTCATTTTGATGAAAATCACAATAGGATATATGATAATTCTTAGTTCAGAAATTTTAAGAATTCACTTAAATATGTGAAAACCACTCAGCAAATAATAATTGAACACTGAGACTTCTTCAAGAATGCATCGAGGTGAGAGATGGGAATCATGCTGTGCAGATTCTGTATCCATCACCATTTCAATTATATCATATTAAGAGATCTTTCCAAAACTCTTACCAGCACCATTTTTCAAGAACAAAGAGAAACAATGCTGTATAATAACATTCTCTGTAATTTTTTTGTCTCAGGTTTCTGGATGAAGTAGTCATCAAACCTGAACAAGATTATGCTTAAAGCTCTTGGAGGGGAAAAAGGGGACACAATCAGTATTCTTGTAAAGAGAGGTAGACTTTGTACTTGTAAATAGAATCCAATGGAAATCTTTATATACAACTTGTGGAAATTTTCTTCTTCCCATCATGTTTCCTCTAGATCCACCGCTCTAAGAACATTAGGAGTAGATTTACAGAAAAACGATTTCCTTTACTTCTCAAGTCCTTCATTGGCTTCAGAGTTCACATCATTTTTATTCTGACCACGATCTTAAGGTTCAAATGGTTAAAGAGGTACAAATGTGTCTTACATGGAAATAAGCATTCAATTACATTTCATATGTAAAAAGACAATTTCTTATTGAAATAGAACTGAATTTATTTTTAGTATTATGAGGTCTTAAAAAAGTTTGTACAGTATATTTAATTTTTGCTTAAGGGGAAATTTTGGTACTTATTAATGGTTTAAAGAAATTTGGTTTGGTCCACAAACTTTTTTTTTTTTTGTCTTTTTCATTTTTATCAGTACTGGGGATCGAACTCACGACCGCCTGTTTGCAAGGCAGGTGCTTATGCCGCTGAGCTAAACCCCCAGCCCTTGGTCCACAAACTTGAACAAAATTGTTCTTTTCTCTTGGTCATCATAAATTTTATTCCAGAAGTAAATCCTTTTGAGTTGTATATACCACCAGGCTTTGAATTCCTAAGTAATTCCCTTGTGATGCTCTCTCTTTCTTTCTCCCTCCCTCTTCTCCCTCTCCTTCTCCTTGTAGGATGAACAGGGAAATATCCAGATATCAAGGAAGAAGATAACAATGTTTATTTTATTTTTTTAAATTTTATTTAAGGAGAAAAAAGAAAAAGGGTACAAGTTATACAGAATTTCAGAAAAAATAAACAGTAGGAAATCACTAGTTAATTACATATTGTCATCTTAGAAATAGTTGTTGAAGTTACAAAATTAAAGCATATAGAGGGGACTTTCAAACAGTGAGACTGCAAACAGTTTTGTTCAATAATCCAACAAAACTCAGTAATATGGTTATCTATCTTATACACAAATATATATGCAGTTATATCTTTTAGAGAACTTTCTTTTTCTTTCTTTTGTACAATGACAATTACATGTTTTGGGTTTTATTACTCCCATAGTTCTTATTGCCTTTTTTTTTGAAGAAGTACAACCAAATGTGACACACCAGGACAGAGTCACATAATACATAATGTAAAAACAAAATACAAGGCGATCAACAATGGTTACCATAATGCCTCTTGTTATCTTAAAAAGAATTGCCTATATCATCAGTTATAATAAATTGAACAAAGCAGTAAAGAATAAGACCAATAAAACCAAAACATTGGAGACATTAGAGGACTTCAAAAGAAGATAATAGTCAACCAGAATGGGCGTCACAATGGATCTTACTGTCTTCATAGTTGTTGCCTAGACTTTCAAAATTGGTACTATCTAGCATAACAGAATAGAGGAAAATCAGTCAAAACAAGATGGTGAGAGCAACACAGAGTTTCAAATCAAGTAAATAGGAAATCAAAGTGGGTTACTATAATATATCCTGCTATTTTTTATTTATTTTTCCCTTAATTAAAAGGATAAAAATGAAAAAGTAGATAATAAAAAGGAGATTGAGATAAAAAGGAGGGCATAACAACAAAACAGTGCAGGTCAAAACGTAGCCATTTAAGCAAAATAGTGTTTCACCACAAGATAATCTCGACATAATAGTAGTTACCATAGTGTCTCTTCCCTTAAAATCTTTGGGTATAACTTCATATACTGTAGCATCAAACATATCAAGACAATGTAAAATCATTCAAGAGAATGACAGTATTACAGGGTATTTAGAATCAACTAACAGAAAATGAACAATGGTTTCTGTATAATCTCCTTGTCTATAAAAGTTTTTGTTTATATTATCAGATATAATAAAATCCAATAAGATACAACACGTTAAAACTGATGGAGACAGAAGAACAAAAGCTTGATGGGACTTCAAAACAAGAGGATATTAAATCAGCACTACCTATCATGATGTCTTGTTTTCTCTAGAATGGCTGTTCCTACCATCCAACCTTCTCTGCCTCATTTCTGTTGAGCTTTTTTCTGTCATTAGTTGTCAGTTTGTCCTCTTCATTTCACTTTTTGCTCCATTCATTGTGGCCGCTCTGCCACTGTTTCTGGAATCTTGGTATTTTTCATTTTTAGAATATCCTGCAGTAATCTTTGTAGAGTTGAATTGGTGGTTGCAAATTCCCCTAGTTCCTCTTTATCCTGGAAGCACCTTGTTTTTCCATCAATTTCTAGGGACAGTTGTACAGGATATATCAATCTTGGCTGGAGGTTATTATCTTTCAAAGCTTGAATTATTTCCCCCCACGCTCTTCGTGATTTGATGGTTTGTGCTGAGAAGTCTGCTGTAATTCTGATGGGTGTTCCCTTGTAAGTGATCTGTTTCTTATCTCTGATGGCTTTTAATATTCTGTTCTTATATTGGATTTCTGGAATTTTGATAATTATATGCCTGGGTGTAGCTCTGTTTGGGTTGTAGGTGACGGGGGTCCTGTATGCCTCATACATCTGAGTATCTTTACTTTTTGCTAAATTAGGGAAATTCTCCTGGATTATTTCTGTGAATAGCTTTTGTAGTTCATTTGTTTGAGTCCCTACGTCTTCTTTTATGTTCTTTATTCTTAAGTTATAGATCCTCTTATCATCTTCTAGTCTTTGTATTATTGCTGTTTGTTTTCTTGTTATTTTTAAGAAGTTTTTCATTTCATGCTCCCACCTTACAAATCTGTCCTCCAGTTCTGATAATCTATCCTTTGTTTCTTTCAGGCTGTCATGCCAGCTTTCAATAGAGTTTCCTGGTAATCTCTGTGAACCTGCTTCACATATTTTATGTTTTCTGTATTTTCTCCATCAAACAATTCTCCCCTTTTTTTCTGTTCTTCCATTCCACCATCTGTTTTTTTCTTGGGTGGTGCTTAGCATTTCTCTAACTATTCTACTTATTTCTTGCTTTATTTCATTAAATACTTCATTTTTGAACTCGTCTATGAGGCTCTGGAGAAACCGCTTTATATCTATAGGTGCTGTGTCTGATATTGCATGTTTTCTGTCTTTATTCTCTTTTGCTTTTACCTTTCCTGGATCAGTGTTCTCAGGGTTGGGGACTGAGGACCCTTTCTTGTTGCTCCCTTTTCCCATATTTTGTTCCTTCCATACAAGCGTATGTAGGATGCTCAGTTATTTTTTTTCTCTTTGTCTGTTGCAGTTTGTTTGAATCCGCCTACTAGGTGTTCCTGCCCACTGCAGTATACTAGGGAGACAAAGACCTGGGCAGCCTCTGCTGGGCCCACCCCTCCAGGTCAACCTACTGAATGTTTCACTGCTAGGGTGCACCGCCAAGCACAGGGACCTGATTTGGGCTAGCCTACAGGATCTTAGTCCAAAGCATCACCAGGCCAAACACTCCCCACCACTCCCGCTTGAGAGGGGAATATGCTACTAAAGTCACTACAGGGCTGTGTTCCTGCTAGTCTGCCCATTCCCAGAATGTCCTCTGTTGGAGCCTCCTAGTCTATGAAAGGGTCCCCATTTCTCTCACTCACCGCAGGTCGATGCAGGGCTCCCTGCCAGTCCTGCTCTCAACACCGTTTGGGCTGATTCCCACTCTCAGAACTTTCACACGCCTGTCTCCCTGCTGTGTGGATTGGGACGCAGTATCAGCAGCAGGAAATTCAAATTGCGGTTTCCAAAGGCGTGGGACCCAGCTTCTGCACTGAGATTTTATCTGCTCCTTTTACAGCATCAGGATTGCATTTCCAGTTCGTTTCTCTCATCTTACTTTGTTCCTGGGTCAGCAAGGTAGATCTCCCGTCACGTAGGACTCCTCACAGGGCACTGCTCCTGGATTCTAAGCTGGTAATCTGAGAGAGCCTCCATGGCTGCTGTTATTTGTCTGCCATGTTCTCCCAGAAGTCACAGTGTTTAAATGAAAATATTGTTAGTGTTTTTATTTCCCATCTGTTTTTAATAATGTTTTCTGAGTTGATAAAGTCTTTATCATGGTATATTCTATAATTCATTTTTTCATAGAATACAATGTATTTAAATATTGCTATGCTTAAAAATCATAAAATTTCTAGGTATGTTTTTATAATTAAAAGTTGATAATTTTTCCTGAAAACTTGAAATAGTGCAAAAATAATCACTTAAAAACCTTACAGAGTCAACTTTAACTTCATACAAAATCTGTATGTTTGTTCAAATATTTATATAGTTACTGTATAAAAATTTTCCAGCAGCCCAGAATGAGTTTAAATTTCTAGTTAAGGTTTCTTTCTATGAGACATCATATATTTTATATATATTTTTTGAGTTTTTGAGACAGGGTTTCACTATGTAATTCAGACTGGCCTCAGTAGGGATCCTCCTACCTTGGCCTATCAAGTGCTGGAATTACAGGATTGTACCAGCAAGCCTGGCACATCATATATTTTAGAGAATATTTAGGAAAATATTTAAAAGTATGAAGCTAGAAATTTAAATTGATTTTATCACAGGTTCATATATGTTATTAATTTGATTTTGAACCAGAAGGAGCTGACACAGACAGAAAAGAGTTTCTTTTAGAGGACATCTTCAATGTTTTAAAACAATTGGTTTGCTTTCATATATTTCATTTAACAAGTGGGCAGTTGAAGTTCTAGTTGTAAGAGGTTGTGTTTTAGTATGGTATCAGACTGTGGCATTGTTTTTCAGATACTAGAGGTGTCTTCTGTGTTTAGTGTTATTTATTAACTTTTTATTTTTTGCTGAGTTACTTTTTCAAGTTGTTAAAAATATCTTGCTTTGTGATTATCATCCATGCACCAGGGATTTCACCTCTATTTTGAAATATTTTCCCATATTTTTCTTCTAACTTTGATTTGAAGTGAAAGACAAACCATTTCCAATATGGCTGGGAGGATAAATCTGGGGTGATACTCCACATGGCATAATCCCCTCCTGCCTGCCGATAGGTCTTGAATGGGATTTTCAGGGTATCCCTTAGAATAAACCGAGTATCACTTGCCACTGCAGTTGAACAGATGTCAATTGAGAGCTCATTGGTTTTGTACCAACAACCTCCACTGACAGCCAGCGGACGGTGGAAAGAAACACTGTGGTCTCCTTCATGTTTAGAAATTGAATTGGTACAGATGGATTTACAGAAAGGACATTGTTTCCAGCAGCCACAAAGTTGCTCAGAGAGGATTTTCTCAATTACAGGAACCATTTCATCTAGAGGTGTACTTAAAAACTTTTCTTCTGCCTTCATCATTGCACCATCCAATGCTTCTCTCATGGCTTCTTTGAGAGACTCCATATCTTTTAGCTCCTGGTGTTCAATGACTCTCAGATCTGCTCGTGGAAAGATTAAGCTATTCCCCAGGTGATCACAGAAGAAATCTAACCACTCAGATGCAGTGCTGCTTTTATCTTTGGCCTGTGCCATGGATTCCTGAATAGCAGAAAGGATGGCATTTTCAATGTCCTTTAAATTCATTTTTAAAAAAGTGCTTATTTTTCCATCTTTTTCTTCTGAACAGTATATTTTAATATGCTTTTTAATGTAACTGCTGAAAAAGGACTCTGGCTCATGAATGTATTGCCAGTAATTATCAAAGTTTTCTTCTTTTGCCAGAGAGATGAGAATATGTTTTTCCAGCTTAGCCTTGTTTCCACTGAATGCAGGGCAGGTAGCTTGTATGTCCCCAGCAATTTTAGAGGCCATGTTTTCTCGTATGGTAGTAGATACAGCAGGAATGAGCTTGTTCCACAGAAAGTCTACAAAAGACTTGACAGAGGTTGCTCCTTGGCAAGAAATCTTGAAACTTGTGAAGAAATCATCTTTTTTACTTTCCAGATAGTTTACAGGATCATTTGTTCTCATGAAAGCCATATGTATTTCTTTAAAATTTTTTGATGCTCTTTTGAATAAACACAAAGATAATTCCATTTTGTAGTTGCTTGTAAATGAGAATCTTTTATTTGTAGGTGCAGATGTCACTTCCTGTTCTATTATTCTCAGAATTTCATGAAAATCATTTACATTGTAATCGCGACTTTGCTTCCAAATATTATCAATAGTTTCATCAAATCTTATAAAAATGCGTTTAGTAGTCACATGAATTAACTCTCTGTCTCCTACCTCTAAATTACTTGCAAAAAGTAAAAACTGCTCAGCTAACTTGATATGTTTCTCATAGGTGATTTCAAATTTCTTTCCAGAATTTGTTTGTATCATATCCATTATGTTTCTCTCATTTTTGAAATATGCCAAAAGAACGTCCTTAGAATCCACCTCAATGTTAGGCTCTACCGCTGGAGGAAGATTTGAGGATATATCATAGATCCATTTATTCCAGAGTTGATTAAATTTAATCTTTAACTCCTTCTCACTCAATTCTTTACCTTTTAGAGTTAAAGCCAACTCTCGACTCTTTTGCAATATTTCATTTTCATAATCCATCTTTTTGCTATCCAGCCTTTCCTGAGATCTTTTAAGATCAATACGTCTATTGGCTTCTTTTCTGGCATGTGAAATAAGTGTCTCTTGAAGAATTTGTAACTTATTTTCAAAATTTCCTTTCCATTGAATCAAAATTTCACTCTCTGGGTCTTCCTTAAAATACTTCTCAAGGTCTTCCTTAATGGTTTCATATTTTTCTGTTATAGGACCTTCAAGTGAGCTTCTCTCCAATGTCTGAATTTTTCCATTCTGAATCTGATTGTTCAGCTGATTCTGCAAGTGCAACACATGACTCTTCAGCTTCCAGGACCACTGGTTGTACATGGTTTCCAGTTTGGTCATGGCCTTGACCTCTCGGGTATTTCTGAAACTGAAAATAAAGTTCTCACTGAGGAGGGCTCTCCATAAATCTTCCACTCGGAATTTCATATCTGATATCTTCATGATATTTCCTCTAGATTCTTGTTTAGCCATCAAAAGAATTTTGCTTTTCAGTTCTTGGATGTTGTGACTATAGCGAGGATTAGGAGGGGCCATTGGGGGGTTGCCATCCCAAAGGTGAGGGAAATAGTAGACATGAGTATTGACATCAAACTGAATGACATCACTGAAGCAGGACACATTGGAGCACTGCTCTTGCTCAGCAGCGATCACTGCCATTTCATCTAGTTTCTGCTGTAGCCGCCTCCGTCCTTGTCCTTCCATGGTTTGCTCTTTTACTGTAACTTCCATCACATTCTGATGAACAAAGAGGCAACTTGGGGAGATTTTCACTTGTTTCATCTTCAGAAAGGCCTGGACGGCTATTTGTAGGATATCCTGCATGTCTGATGGATTCTCTCCAAAAATATTGATCAGAGTTAAGTTTCCAAGTCCAATGACAAAGGTTGCCAACTCATTGTTCCTATTCTGGGATTTGTTGTTAAATTCTGAGGCCTTGAGTCCTTTTGTGTCTATAACCAACAGAAGATCAAATCCAAGTTTCTCTGCAAAGCTCTCTTCCACATTCAGGAGCTGCATGTAGGCCCCCCTGGTATATCTGCCTGCACGGACACTGAACTGCAGCCCAAAAAGGGCATTCAGCAGGGTGGACTTTCCTGAACTCTGCAGGCCCAGAACAGAGAGAACAAACAGTCTCTTACCTGAAAGTCTCTCAGAGACCTTGTCAAACACAGCTGCGACCCATTTTAGAGGCACGTAGGATGCATCCCCATCCATCAGCTCAATGGGCATGCCAGATAGCATCAGGTCTGCAGCAATTTCAGGAAGAAAATGAAAAACAATATCTCTTTTGGCAGAAGTTTCTTCTAGTGTTTCATATATCTGTGCAACTTCTCTGAGAAGCTGTTCAATTCCCAATGCACAGTAACTGATTTCAGTGGAGATGATTTCCAGTTCATTTTGTGAGAGGTCCAGGGAGCAGCTCTTCTGTGTCTTTTGCTTTTCTGTTTGTATCTTTGACCACAAAGAGTTTTGTTTTTCACGCAGATTTTCTAAGTGTCCTTCAGTGAGGCTGTCCAAAAACACACTCAGCCACTGCAAAAAGTACAGTTTGACATGTGTTTCTGAAGATTGTTGCAAAAATCGTAGGAAAGATTGCATGAAATCATTGAGAGGAAAGGCTTTTAAGAACTGTTTATATCTAATTTTTTGTTTTTGTGTCTCAATCTCACTCTTGTGTTGTTCAATGCTCTTGTTTCCCTTCTCTCTTAGATGATAGAGTTCTTTGTCCTTTTTACACCAAAGATGCCATAGTTCTCCCTGAAGGGGTAATACATTTTCCTTCATGTGAGATAAGTTCATGTCTCTCAGAGGGGCTGTTATGGTCTCTGCCTTTTCTTTGGCTTCCTTGCAGTCTCTCTGGTCTTCATCAATAAGGAATCCTCGCTTGCGAGCAATGTGAGAACAGTCTTCTAGGCTGAGAGCAGTATTAGAGAGCTGCAGCAAACGTCTGATTGCAGTAATGATCTCTTCTGTTAAGTCTGCTTCATTTCTGTTTCTGATGCCAATTCTTACTCTTTTGTGAGAATTACTGACTGTGTGTTTTCCTCTGTCAACAAGTAAGCAGATCAAAGGCCTGGATGATTGCCATAGATCATAGACAATTTTTCTGTTTTCTTCATTGTCATCAGAGGTTGACATAAGGATCACAATGAGAGAAGAAACCTCCTGCAGGAAGGCTAGCTGCTGCTGGTGGTGCTTTGCATCTCCATGAAGATTGGTGAAGGTCACACAGTTGTCAAATCTGTCTTTCTCTTCTTCCCCGGGACAGTACCAGCAAACTTCCACTACACCCTCCATCAAGAGACAGTCTTTGTGGCTTCCCTGGCAGTGTCGGTGAAAAAACACATCATGTTTTCGTTTACTGAGAACACAGTTCATGATCTTAGATTTGGAAGCAGACAGGCCATTTCCAACTCTAATGAAAGACACAATGGAGGAGGGTACACGACACATCTGCTGGTTGTTAAAACTCTGCTTCTTTCCTTTAAATGATTTGCTATTATGTTGCCAAGTCCTCCTAATTTGTTTGAGACACCAGAGAGAGAATTCAATTTGTGAAGTACAAGGGTTAGGCACCAACAGGGGGAGGGCAAATTGACAAATAGAAAGTTTGTCCAAAATATATTGCCTGGCAAAATCATCTGCACAGTGAAAAATTGCCATCTGGATATCCATCGGGTGAATATGAGGCCTGGGTTTAGCTGTAAAAGGACTATCATCATCATCAAAAAGGTCTTCATAGGGATCAGAAGCCTCGTTGTCCTGGTCAGAGGTGCTTGGATAGACCTGATATTCTATGTTTTCTTTTTCTCTGCAGACCAGATATCTCAACCCACAATCGAGCATCAGTAGCTTCTGTAGGAAGTAGAAAGGAAGCTCCCATTCAGCACTGGGGCGGGTTTTGTAGACAGAAGTCTTGTAGATCAGATGAAAGTTATCTCTGCCCATCCTTTTAGGGAAGTAGTGTTCTAGGCCTAGACGTTGAAGTAAATCTTTGAAAGCTCTATTTTCTATGAAGTCATTTTTAATATTGTCTTTATCATGTAGTTTACTACTCATTGTTTCTTCCTGCCTCTGCCTTTCTTCTAAAAACAGGTCCGTTAGCTCCTGCAGTGCCTGTTCTGCTTGTTCATACCTTTTGTCTATCATCTCCTCTAGTGACTCCTGTAACTCTGGGTGAATATTTGAATGTGACAGATCAAAATGCTTCTCCGGGGCTGTTCTGTCATATTGATGCTGCTCCTGGGATTTCAAGCTCTGGAGGTCTTTTTCTTGTAAATATAGGGAGTCCTGTTCCCAGGTCTTGTGCAGATGTTCCTGCAATTTGGGCAAACAAAATTTAGTGTCTATTCCTTCATTTTCCAGAATGTCTTGGAGATTTTGCTTCCTTTCTTTTCTGAGCAGCGGTTTATCAGAGTTGTAGTCTTCAGTTGCCATGGCTGTGCAAAAAATATACATCACATTAGCTTTATTGTTTTCTGACTTTAGAAAGTCTTGGCTAGATTTTATATTTCCTCCCTTAGTTTTTCCAACCTTTTCTTGTTAACATTTTTCTATGTATGTTTGTGTTTTGTGTCAAAGACATCATTGTATGTGTTTCAAACATAAGACTACATTTTGGTACTTGGTGAGTTGCAACTTAGTATCTTGATTTTTGAACTTTTAGAGTCAATTGCATGAAAATAGTTAAGTTATTGGATGGAATTTGAAAATTTACATGAGTTTCATAGCTTTTTAAAACAAAGCAACACTACTGTTCAATGATCTATTCTCTATTAGTTTCTGCAAAACCTGTGTTGACTGGTTACATTTTTATCTCTCTGCTACTCTTTTTAGTAGTATATGTTTGCTTTACATATGATTATAGTCATCATGGGGGAATTGCTACAGGTATACCACACATCTTAATTATTTTTACTTCACCTTCTCTTCTCCCTTAAGCCTTGAAATTATTTTCAGTCATTTATCTTTGTCTATCAGTTTATACTTAGTTTTTGCTTTCACATGTCTTTATTAGATTATAATAGGCATCCCATCTGCAACGAGCTGGTTTTTTTTTTTTTTTTTTTTTTTTTTGCTGTAAAACTCACATTGCAATTTAACTGCCTTATAGCAGTATTGAGGGTTTTAACATTTCAGAGGTGATTAAGCAATGGAGACTGCTATTATCATTGAGATTAATGCTATTATAAAGATTCTAATTCAGCCTGCTTCTGCCCTTTTACATATCTGGTTTTTGTATGTGATGATGTAGCATTAAGTCTCTCACAGAATACCTGTACCTTGATCTTGCACTTTCCAGTCTCTGGAACTAGAAGCCAATGAATGCATGGTCACTGTAAATTACTCATTCTTGGTATTCTGTAACACAAAACAAATTGTGACAAAAATTAATACAGAGAAGCAAGATATTACTATAGTAAAAAAGGAGAAAACTGTGGAAGCAGGATTGTAACTAGATAATGGATTGATAGTGTAAGAATTTGCAGAAAAAAATCTAGCAAAAATCTAGAGTACCACAAATGGAGCATAAGTGGAAAGTATTGAAGGCTAAGATGAAGAGGAAAACTATAGGGAATTTTGAAACTATTTAGAGGTACTAACGTGATCATAATAAGTATAAGTGGTTAAAAAATGATGGTAAAGGAATTCTGTGAAGTCTCAGAAATGTATGAGGTTTGGAAGCCAAAGCTATCCTATTACAAAGAGCAAAGAAATTAAATAGTATCTCACCTGAGGGATAGATATAAGGCAGAACTTAAGAGTGATAAACAGAAGAAATCTCTAAGTAGAAAAGCATTCAGGAAATTGCATGTTTCCCCTCAACTACATAAACATAATAAAATGAAGGAGGAGAGAAGTAATTTAAGAATGAAATTTATAGTTAAAAGGGGAGCTAAATTTAATGACTTGAAAACATATTACCTTTGTTATGCAGTATATGAGTAAAATGTTAGTGTAGAAAAGATAAGCAAATATGACCAAAGGAGTATTTGATAGAGATTACTATGGCTGTAAGGAAGCCAAATACTATTCATTAATGCACTGAGAAAATAATCCAAAGGCATTTTAGAAAAGTTTCAACTTGACACTTCCATTAGGAACCTAGATGCTGTACTCTTTTTTTTTTTTTTTTTGGGAAAAAAATTTTTTTTCTTTTTACTTTATTTGTAAAACTTTTTTACTTTGTTTGTTAATATTAAGAAGAAAAGGTAAAACAAATTTTCACAACAAAATAGTGAAAAAGTAACAATTGTTGATAAATTATACATCATTATCTTTAGTCACTCAAGTACAAAATATGGGCATAAAAGTTTCTTCAGTCAATATTAGCACAACCTTTCCTATTCAGTGAACTAAGTGACACTAATGATATAACTTACTTGCATTTTTTTCTTTTCCCTTCTATCCTTACTCTTTTCCGGTATCTTAGTTTCTTCTTTTTATTGAACAGTTTCCTCCCATTTCACAGTGACTATTGTATATTTTGAACCTTATGGTTTCACATATGTCACTGTGGTGTGATGTTTTTCAGTCCTTCTGGGAAGATACACAGGAGGGGAATACCTGGGTTGAATGGGACCTCTAATCCTAATTTTTTGAGGTATCTCCACACTGATTTCCACAGTGTTTGTACTAGTCTACTCTCTAACCAACAGTTGTAAAGGGTTTCTTTTTCCCTACAGATCCAGCAGCATTTTTTATTGGTTGATTTTTTTAAAAAAAATTAAATAATTTTTTAATGAATAAGGGAGAGGATAAGATAAAAGGGGGTATAACAACGTAACAATACAGGTTAAAGCATCACACTTTCAGCAACCTAGTGCCTCACCACCAAATAACTCGACTTAATAGTAGTTACCATTGTGTCTTTTTCTTTGAAATATTTGAATATAACTTCATATTCTATAGCATCAAACATATCAAGACTGTGTAACACCATTCAAGTGGATGAAAGCATTGTAGAGTAGAACCAGCTAACAGAAAAAATGATCAATGGTTTCAATATTATCTCTTTGCCTATAACAATTTGTGTTTATACTACCACATACGATAAAATCCAGCAAGTTACAACATGATAAAATCAATGGAGACAGAAGAACCATAGTTTGGTGCGGCTTTAAGACAAGATGGTATTAAATTGGCACTAGCTGTTATTACGTCTTATTTTCTTCAAAGTAGCTGTTCATTGCATCACCGGCCATAATATCAAACAGCCCAGAATATAGCCATTCCAATTAATGAGTGAAAATTTTATAAGGCTTCAAGGCCATATAATGGGGAATCATGGTTATCACGTACTTTTATATATTTGATTCATTTCCTACACTGGGGAAACTATTCGGAGTTCACAGATGCGAGTTTGATTTAGTTCACTTATGAGTATGGTTTCAAGCTGCACCCATTTATTGATAAATACCTCAATGTGATCCTTCTTTATAGCTGAGTAGTACTCCATTGTATAGAAGTACCACAGCTTTTTTATCCATTCCTTGGTTGATGGACATTTGGGTCTTCCATTAGGAACCTAGATGCTGTGCTCTTGAGGGCCCAGAAATTTTCAGAGAGCAGTTCAAGGGACTCAGAGAATTCCAGAATTTTCTGTTCCCTTCTGCCTCAGATCCTACATTCTGAAATGATACTTTGTAATTGCCCCAGTTGTATCTCCAGTTGTCCCTATGTTTGGTGCTGATCACCACTGTTGAAGATACAAGTGAGAGAAGAAAAAGATGGAGAAAGAGAAGAATGGAAAAGAAGAGAGGGAAGGAGGAAAGGAGAGAGAAGAGAGGAGAGAGAGAGTTATGATTGGTAGGTGGCATGGTTGTTGCTTGGTGCACATATTTAGAAGCTTCATATTTAGGATGGAAGCTGCTATTGAATCTTTAAGGAGTGAAGTCTAAGATGAATTCTATAAGTCATTAGGGGTGCTCCTTCAAGGTGGATTAAAGTATTTTCTTCTGGGACCCTGGATAATATTCTGGTTTTTTTTTTTTTATTTTTATCGGTACTAGGGATCGAACTCACGACCACCTGCTTGCAAGGCAGGTGCTTATGCCACTGAGCTAAATCCCCAGCCCCCCTGGATAATATTCTGAAATTGATGTTATAAAAGCAGCAAGTCTGACTTCTTTCTCTATCTCTTCTTCCTAGTTAGAGACATAATTGTTTGTTCCTACATACAACCCACCAACTGCTTTTACAAATACCTATTTTATAGTACTTTGATTTTTAGTTTGAACATTGTAAACTAAATAAACCACGTTTATTTTTGAAGTCAGAAGTATATATATATATATATATATATATACTCCATTACTATATATATGTATATATATAGTAATGGAGTATATATATATATATACTCCATTACTATATATATGTATATATATAGTAATGGAAAATAGAAAATTGGCATCAAAGTATTGGGTCATTATTATAATTGTACTTGAAGGAGAACATTTGAAATTGGTTCATGGGCATAAACTGGAAGAGTTGCTAGTAAAGGACTAAAATGATGTTTGTAGAATATTATAATCAATTCTAGGGAGTCTTCAGAAGATGAGAAAGTAGTGAAATGTCTTTAGGCATGAGTGAGGATTCTAGTAGAAATTATACTGAAGGTGATTCATATACAAGCATGGAAAAGAATGTGGCAACATTGTGTCTGTTCTTTCTGACTTTGTGGAAAGTATAATTTAAGAATGAGAGACTAGTTTACAGAGAAACAGACTTCAAAATATAATACTCAGACTTTGGCATGGGCGTTGCTAACTGCTTTTCACCAGATTGTGAGTGACATTTGGGACCAAAAAGAGCAGTGTGAAAAGATGGGAAAATTCATCTTCAGGTCAGGGAAAGAGCAAAAACATGTGTTTGGGACAAAGGTTGTGTCAGTTGAGCCACCTTTTACTAAAAAGATTAACATGGAAAAGAGGAGCCCAGTACTGAAAATCAGAACAACCAAAATGACAACTGGAAGGAATCTCAAGAATCTTCCTAGAGGCCTATCCATCACATTTGTTGCAGAGACTTTCCAGGGCACACTCTGCACATCCAAACTAATTTGTGATCTGGCTCACTGGCAAAGTGCTCTGAGGTTTCTGCAGCCATGGCTCACATGGGCCTAGGCACAGCTTCTGAAGGCAGGCTGTGACATCATTAGCATAATGTTTTGGTTGGTATAGAAAATACAATAGTAAAAAGTGTAGAAACAACTGAAACACACGCTCAGTTACCTTCTTTATATTTGACAAAGTAGTCAAACACATTCACTGGAAGATATTCTCTTTAATGAATGATGATGGAAAAACTGGCTTTCCATATGCCAAAGACTAAAACTATACCTATGCCTATCTCTATGCACTAAACTAAAGTCAAAATGGATCAAAGATCTGAATATTAAAACAGAAACACTGTATCTGCTGTAAGAGAGAATAGGTAGAACTCTTGAAGACATAAGTGTAGGTGAAGATTTCATGAACAAAACCTTGGTCCAGAAGAAATAATTCAAAGAATCAATTCTTGGGATCTCATCCCATGAAAAAGTTTTTGCACAGCAAAAAACTCATTAAGAGTGAAAATATAATGCATAGAGTGGGGAAAAATTTTATAGTTATCCCTCAAAGAAGTAATATCTAGAACATATAAAGAATGGGAAAAAATTAGACACTCTCAAATTTTAAGGCCCATGCAAAAAATGAGCATCTGAAATTAATACACAATTCTGAGACAATGAAATAGAAATGGCAAATAAATATATGATAAAATGTTCAACATTAATGATGGAAGGCATTTGCACTAAAGGAACACTTCTCCCAGGGTGTGTAGACTCGTACAACTGCTATGGAAATCAGTGTGGAGATTCCTCACAAAACTAGGATTAGGTATTCCATTTTACCTAGCTATTATCCTTCTGGGTATGTTTCCAAAAGAATTAAAAACATTGAACCACAGTGAAATATGCACACTAATTTTTATAGTAGTACAGTTTGTGATAGGTAAATAAATATTGGAAATAATCCAAATGCTCATCAACCAAGGAATGGATGAAAAAGCTGTAGTTTTTAAATACAGTGGAGTACTACTCAACCACAGAGAAGGATAAACGTGAGACATTTTATGTAAGTGAATACAGTTTGAGAACATACTTTTAAGTGAAATAAATTTGACTCACTTGTGCAGATATTGCATTGTTTGTCTGATGTGAGAAGTAGAATGTGTAAATAAAGACTAAAGTGTATAATAATACATTGTGAAACAGGAAGAAATTGTTGAAAAGAAATGGGAACTAAGGAAGTGGGAGGGCAAAAGGAAAGAAAATGATAAAAGAAGGATAAAATGGAAAGAAAGCATTTGTAAATAAGGAGAGGAAGAAGAGTTGAAGGTGGGAGTGGATTGGGAAAAAAAGAGCAATCAGTGTATATCTTGTACAGGTACAAATTCCCTATGATGAATGTGATCATTATATATATCTAATAAACTTAATACAAAAAAGAAATAAAAAGTAATAGAAAGTTTCTTATATAGAGGCATGACAAGCTCTAAAGAA